TCTCTTAGCCTGAACCGGGTATGTTTGTGGAAGGGCTGGTCTCACAGGACAGAGGCGTCTGGCATGCCAATCGGTGCGTGTTACGTGGGTCGTGCGCGGTTCCCGGGTGAGGTACAAAGATGGCTCTTGTCATGGGGAAGGTGTCTGGCAAGCCCATGCATCAGGGCTTTTGCTGGTTGCCAGTTGGGGCCAGGAAGGAAGTTGTCTCCCTTCCTGGATGCTGCTGGCTTCTGCGGGATTTCTCCCCGTCCCTCTGAAGCAGTGGGATGTTGGCCATGGCTAAGGCTGTGGGGTTGTGACTGGGCTGCATGGATTCTTCTGCTGGTACTAGAAAACTCAGCGGTTCCTGGCTGGGGGTGTCTTGCTTCTTTGCTCAGGATCATAGCAGTTGCCAGGTAGGACGAACTGGAATGGACTGAGGGGGTGGGGAGAGGTGCAGGGGTTTGCCTTCTCCTGGATCATTCATTTTCCTTGTACTTCTGACCATATATCAATTAGCCACTTTCCAGTTGTTGCAGTGTCAGGATCTTGGCAGTGCCCTACTCTCCATTCCTTTTACCTCTGGCATGTTATTAGGGTGTTCTTGACATTTCTTGTTCCTTGTAGCTGTAGGTGAGGGCTTGCAGTGGCTGTTTAGGGGATTGCTTCTGTTAACAATTACCTGCAAATGCAGGGGTTTGGATTGGATGGCCCTGCAGGCTCCTTCCAGTCCTACATTCCTGTGTTTGTTGCCCCTTTGGGATTCTTTTGTTGAACCTTCACTCCTTGTATGTAAAACATGACTCCTCTTAGAGATTGTTTCAGACTAAGCTAAGACCTGCAATGTAGATTACAACTGCTAAGTTTTCATAAATAACATAAAAATGTCCCTAGCTTGATGGTTCTCAACCTTTTAAGGTCCATGGCACACCTCCTTAAGCTCAAGACACCCCTTGGAAAATACTGGGTCTTAGTTTTCACTCATTTTTGACTACAGAAATATAATACAGAAATCCTTTTGTTGCAAAGAACTCAGAAAGCTGCACAACAGGTCAGACTGTTTTTAATGCTGTGAATTCATATTTGAAATCTCTGGATTTATCTTGCGAATCATGTTTTCCTTTGCATCCTGGTTGAGAATCACAGTTAGGATTTATGATGAGCCAGGCCATTATATGTAATTCTTCTCAAGTGCAGTAAAAAATGAGCCTTTGCAGGGAAGCTTTGGTACTGGGCAAAGGGAAACTGGATTTCTTTAGTGATGGTCATCAATCCAAGACCGTATAACTGTGATAGGGCAGGAAGCAGAGCAATAGACACATGAATATGTTATCCATAGAACAGGTACAAGAACTTGCATCTGTGCAGAAGTCAGTTCAGTGGTGAGATATACAGGGCCACACAGGTATTAGTCATAACCAGCCCAAATGCTGTGAGCTCTATAATAGATTTAGGTTGAACACAAAATGTTAAAAAAATCCTAGGTTTGGAAGAGACCTCAAGAACATGCATGTGACAATGTCAAACACTTGCTGTGAGGAAGTGTGGGGTTTTAAGGTAACTAGTGCTTCCTTAATTGCCCCCCTTTGGGCATATACATTATGATCTAGTGCTTTAAAATAGTTTTTGATGTGGCATCCTAGGATTTATAAATGACATCATGTAGAAATATATTGATTACCACTTGAGTCATCACCAAGAGTTAAATGTTTAGATCCATGCTGCAGCTCTCTCTCACTCGAGCTGATGGAACAGTTATCACAGTTCTTGCTCATGTCCAAGAAGCCTGTTTCAAGCAGACATATGGCATGGAAAATGTCAAACCAAATTCAGCAAAGTTCTGTGTACCTGAAAAAGTGTCTTACAATCAGAAGCGTTGGGCTACCCTGACTGTCTTGTTACTTATTCATATTCCCATAGTGCCTGGGATTCCTAGTTGTGGACCAGGCATCTATTGTGTTTGGCCCTATACAAGCAGAAGAAAGACTGTGTCTGCCTTAGAGACCATTGGGGAGTATAAGGACTCAATATTGCTCAGCACCATGTTCCTTAGTCTGCACACAGCAGCTGCCCTAGCCACTGTCAAGTTTTTTTGCTTTGTTTTATTTTGTTTTGCTGTCAATATTATGCAAAAGGAAAGTTTTAAACAAGATGTTGAACAGCAAAGTGATTTTGTAATTATTTATGGTGAGCTCCTCCCAAGTGTGAGAGAGCGCGCACAGGGCAAAGCGAACAAGACAGTGGTTCAAAATGGAGCCAATATTGGGGAAATTCTGATTTTTTGTGTGTGTTGTTCCATCATAATGCATACCATATTTACTTGAATCTAAAACAAGGCATCTTTTGCCCCTGGTTTAACATGCCTTTCCTCTGCCATATTTCCTGTACCATCACAGCTACAGCATCACTCCAACACTCCCTATCATTGCTCTATGCAAGCAGCATACCTTTATGGAGCAGTATAATTTTGTGCAGGCTTCTACTTTGAGTGTCTTTTTTGTGGAGCAGTCCATATTCTAACAGGGCTCTGAGCACCCAGCTCCTTATGTATGACTAGCCAATTGCCCATCAAGAATGACAGGGGGGTGGTGGGGAAGGGGCTGGGATGGAGTGCTGCCACCTAACATCCCATGCTGCCGCTGTTCTGCCTCTTGTCCAGTCCTCGGCGCGTCTTCGGAATCATGGCGGCGTTCCCCCACACTTGGAGCACTCTGATTGGCTGTTTCCATCAGCCAATCAGAGTACAAACAAAGCGTTACGGACAGACAGACAGACAGACTTAGGCTTTTATAAGATTAGAATACTGTCTGAGAGTTCCCTATGGTTTGATACATGGAAGGACAGGTAGTAAGCAGGGCTGTGCCAAGCTTTGGTTGCTGATTCGATTTGGCGGACATTCAGCCCGATTCAGTGGCCAAATCTCTGAATCCGAATTGAATCAGGAGTCCGTTTAATCTCTCCAAATTGAACTGGAACCCTCCGAATCGATTTGGAAAGATTCAACAATTTGGATATAGACACAGCTTTAAATATTTTCTACATATCTCAAGGTACCAGGCAGCTCATGAATGCTGACATGGTGGGGTAGATGGAGCATCCCACAGGTACGCAGGGCAGGGGCAGGGGGTCCCTAACATGCTCAGCAGCAGACCACTTCTGGTCGACTTCGAGGTCTGCTGGGGAGCATGCAGGGAGCTCCCCAGCACCCCCCTTGGATCAGGGACTGGTGCCTCCTGGGTCTGGGAGGGCACCCAGGGTCCCCCTGCGGCCTATCGCCAAGCCGGGAAGGTGTGTGGGGGGGTGCCTCAGTGCGCTCCCCAGCACACCTGGAAGTGGACCGGAAGTACTTCTCGTTCACTTCTGGATTTGCCGCTGAGCACATGAAGGGCCACTTGTGCTCCTGTGGGACGCTCTATCCGCCCCAGCATCGCAGCATTCACAAGTCGCTCCTAGTACCTCAGGTTATGTAAAAAAACCATTAAAAGCTGTGTCTATGTCTGAATCGTCGATTCCCTGAATCAGCATCGAATCTTCAGATTTGGATTCAGCCAAATCAAATCGGGACAGTGATCTGAATCAACGACTCGAATCACTGTCCCCGATTCAGGCCAAATCTGAATCAAATATGGCCTGTTTCGCATACCCCTAGTACCAAGAGAAGAAAGAAAAGTTGCATATTGTTGTGGTACGCTACTTGAACTTTCCCTCTGCTCCCTATTTTTCTATACTTGGGAGCATTCATTGTCAAGAAAGAACAGGTCATGGTCTTGAAGACCCCTTTCTTATAATTATTATCGGTGCACAAAGATAACAACGGCTAATATGCAGACCAAGTGGCATAGGCAGTGGGAGAAGATATTAGGGGCGGGGGAGGCTGACCCCCTCCCCTCCCTCCCGTGGGGCTGGCATGGCTGGTGCTGTGCACGGGTGGCGATGGAGGAGCACACTGAGGGGGCTCTGGGTGCGATGCTGTGAGATGGTGGTGTTGTGGTGCTGCTGCTGCTTCCGGCTGCTGTGAAAGTAGTTTGGCGGGGCTAAGCCCCGTTAGCCCTGGCCTTCCTCCACCTATGCCAGGTGGACTGCTGGCAAAGGTTCTGGAGCACAGGTATCGACCTTTTAATGGCATGCATCTAGAAGAGGACATTTTTGAACTCCTATTGTAGAGATAAATGTAATTTTTCCCTGGGTACATTTGATTGGTAAAATCGATTCTTTTTAGATTGTTCCCCCAACCTGGAACCAAGAGTTCTAGATTTTTGCATTAGTAAAATGACAAGGTACTTGTGTAAAATATAATCTGTAGCTTGCATTATCAATTGATACGTACAGTGCTTTGGGATCCTTCAGAATGAAACGTTATATAATGTAAGATCTTTGTCAGAAAATAAACTGTGGAAAGAAGCTGTCAAAAGTCTATCACTGAATGTATTTGATGCCAAGGCTAGGTATTAGCCTATAGGTATAATGAAATCTGTCCTGCCATGTTGTATGAGGATGAGCTAGATGATTCCATGAGTTGTCATGGAATAACATAATTGCTGCTTTTCTTTTAAAAAGTATCTTTTAGTTAAGCTCTACTTAAATAGTTGGTGACTGGTGTCGAATCAGAACTTTCATATGGGCAAATGTTTTCAGCGAGACATTCAGCTGAACCACGTGCATTGTTTTAAGGTGATTGAGGAGCAGCAGAGGGTGAGGAGTCAGACCCTTGCCTCTTGCCCATCTTCCTTGTGCCCCCCAATGTCTGTCTTGCCCTGTGTCCCCACTTCCTGCCCATTGCCCTCCTGTGTCTGCCCCACCCCCTGCTCCCCTTGAAGTCTGCTCCCCTATATCTGTCTGACCTCTCCACCTGTCCCCGCTGTGCCTGCCCTCTCAACTCGCTGTCCCCCCTCATTTACCTTTGCCTTTTGACCAGATGTTTTGAGAAAAGATCAACATTTTTCAGTTGAATCAAATAAGTTTGCTCAAAGTTGGCTGTGTAGTGGAAGTTATATCATAAACTATGCATTTTTCATTCTTAGAATGATTGAGGAGAGTGGGAAGAGAAGGAGGACAATGGCAGAGAAGAGGCAGCTGTTCATGGAAATGAGTAAGTAACAACTTGAGAACATAATGTCATTAATGTGCTAGAGTAGAAAGTACAAGAATGTTATCATATGCCTTTTAATTTAATAAGGTATTAGAGCTGTGAAAAGTTATACATTCATAATTTTGGTACAAGAAGCCTTTATAACCAAGGCTACATAGTGAAAGACAAGG